GGGGCGGCTGCTGGAATTCCAAGCCATGATGGGATGTCTCACGATGTCATTGCGTCGACTTGATATGCCTGCATACTGAGGCGACTGTGGACGTCCGATGTTGACGTAGCCAGGCAGCGGTGGCCCGAAAGGCACTGTGTCGGCTGGCTGGTGGGGTTCGAAAGGACGGGCGAGGCTGCGTGGCCGATACGCGTGCTGGGCGACTGGGCAGCCAAAAGGACACGCGCCAGTGGTGGTGTCTGCCAATGAATGCTCCGATTCACGCGCCATGGTCGGTCAGCCAGCCCTGCAAGCATGCAAGCACGCCGCGACCATCGCAAGCGATGGAATGGCAGCCGCTACAGGCAATAAGCAGCGCAGGCAAGTCAACCAACCATCGTGTGCTGCTGGGCTGATTGCTGAGCAGCCAGATGCGCCAGACGCGTGTTCTCCAGCTGCTTCGTAGTGGGCGAGTCAGGCCGGCTCTGTGCGGCCCACTCAGAGTGCAATGAGCGTTGAGGCTTGATCTTGCACGAGATCCTGCTGTAGCAAGGCAGAATGCCGACCCTCTGACAGGGATGCGGGTGAACGGACTGGTGTTGGTGCTGATGCGGATGTAGCCGGACATGGTGCGGTTTGCGATTGTGCGAGCAGTTGTTTGTTGCTGTTTTGGTGATGCTTGCTCTTTGGTAAAGGCACGGCTTGGAGACTTTTGTGGTTTCCCGAAAGGACAATGACGTGGCTGCAGGCTTTGTGGGCGGAATGCCATTGCAGCTATGCATCTGGCGAGCTGCGATGATGGCTCAGAATGAGCTGTGATGCAGCTACGTGATCTCGCCTGATGCTCGCAGTCTTGCAAGCGATCCGTCTGCCTTCTGTGAATGGGAATGTGCCTGATTGCTGCCGATGCATCGCAGTTGACCTGCAACGACCAAAGAGCGAATCTGCCCATCAATGGCGTGTGAGACGGACGACGACGAGGCAGGCTGCACGGACATCTCATGGACACCGCACAGAACCACCAGGGACAGAGGCGAGCGTTGGATGCTGCTGCTCGACTTGCTGGTGTACCAGACTGTCGCGAGCAGTGGATGCAGCCAGCCAGCCAGCCAGCCCGTCTTGGATGGATGGATCCATGGACGTTGTCGCGACGACCACTGCGAGCACCATCAAGGCTGTCTCGTGCATGGGCAGCGTGTGCGGGGCGAGAGGGCGGGAGCGAGGAGGGCAGACAGGCGGCCGTGGCATCACGCACCAGTGACAGAGCATCGCACGCCTGCAACTGGCCGCACGCTTGGCTGACTCGGTCTCGCAGTCGTCGTCGTTGCGGCTGCTGTTGGTGCCGTGAGATGGACAGAACACATGAATGCGAGACACGCACAGCCTGCATGCGGACGCGGACGCGACTGACCAAGCCGGGCCAAGCAATCGTCATCAAGTGGCCAAGCAGATGCCGCACCACACAGCCTGTCCGTCAGCCTGTCTGTCTGCACCAGCTGCCTATAAAAGCCATCGGCTGTTCCTCTCTCGCTTGCTCAGCATCAAACAAGCCAACAGCCAACGCTCTCTGCATCCAAACATGATCCACAACAACATGGCACACAGCAACGTCCACGCATCTGCACTCGCTTCAGATGGCTTCCCTCCCGTCACAGCTCGCTCGGCTGCTGCACCAAAGCCAAGTGCCACATCGACATCCATCTCGTCTGGCAGCACTCTGTCGCCTGCACATGGCTCCAACACGATCAGCAAACGCACCAGCTCGCTCGAACTCGCTCAGATGAACCCTGCACCGTCTGCACCGATGGCCCTGCGTTGCCTCTGATCTGCATCCAAGACACGCGCCATATCTCTTCTCTCTGTCCATATCCTGCACATCCTGAACATCGCACATCCAATACATCCATTCATCCATCTTCAGTTGTCCGTTCATGCAGCCACTCTCGTGCCAAGAAGAGCAGCAGTCAGTGGACGGCACAGCTCTGGCAGTCAAGACTGACGACACACTGATCAACAGCAATCAGCCAAGTGTGCCAAGATGCGATGGAATACTCTGCAAATGGATTGTTTGTGGATGCAGTTGATGTGCCAATATTCGAGTATGCACAGGGCATTTCTAAGATGTGAAAGCGGGCTTATGGCGCAAATGGATAGCGCGTCTGGACTACGAATCAGGAGGTTCCAGGTTCGACCCCTGGTAAGCTCGATCTCACATTTTACCCATCTGGGCATCGCCTTTCCTTTTGCCACTCTCGCCAGAGTCCCTTCTTTTTGCCCAGATTGCCCTTGTGCACCACGCAGCACGCTCGGCTCTGCATCTACTGCACTCCCCTGCTCACACCAATCCAGTTTGATGTGCGTTCACTCGCCTCGCCAATGTGCGCGTTTCTTCAGGCTGCCCATGGTGTGTTCCAGCGTACCGACCCTGATTCCCCGCGTGCCTGCCATACCCGAGGATGTGTCCTTTCTGGCCTGGCATAAAATGCAAGTACATGGAATCCATCAGAGCAGTAGTTGGGATATCGATCAACTGCATTCATTGGGATGACGTTCAGGCAATCAGACAAAGAGGGACGTGTCGACGCCAGGGCACACATTGTCGACAGCAGCCATGTTCTTGGGAACCTGTCTGCCGTTCTCGGCAATCTGCGCGGCGTTGTTCTCGAGGTTTGCAAGCACGAGCGAGCACTGGTTCTTGAGCACCTTGTTGCGGTTCTTCTGGCACTGGATGGCATCCTTGGCCGCGCCAGTCTTGCCGGCAATGGCCGCGTTGAACACCTGCTTCTCGGCCGTCTCGGCAGCGCGGGCAATCGCCTTGATCGCGGCCGCACCGAGGCTCTCGGGGCACTTGGCGTTGGCGGCAGCAAGAGCAGCGGCACCATCGCCGCCGGTCTTGGAGATGTCGATCGAGGCAAAGTCGGCAGGGGGAGCCTTCTCCTTCTTGGCCTTCTTGGCAGGCTTGGCATCAGCAGCAGCGTTGTTCGCATCGCCCGCGTTGTCGTCAGCCTTGGCCTCGGGAGCAGCGTTGTTGCCGCCACCAGCCTTGCCCGATCCGACAAAGAGCGACGTGTCGACGCCAGCGCAGCGGTTGGTCACATCGCCGGTGTTCTTGGCGACCTGCTTGGTGTTGAGAGCGAGCTGGTCGGCCTTGTTGTCCTTCTGGGCAGACAGGAGCTGGCAGAAGTTCTTGAGCACCTTGTTGCGGTCGCGCTGGCACTGGACGGCAGCCTTCTTGGCGCCAGACAGGTTGTTCACGCCAAACACGGTGTTCTCGGCTGCCTCGGCAACCGCGCCAATGTCCTTGAGCTCCTTGGCAGAGAGGTTGTCAGAGCAGACGGCCTTGGCGGCAGCGAGAGCAGCGTCGCCGTTGCCGTTGGTCTTGGAGATGTCGATCGAGGCAAAGTCGGGAGCACGACGGACGATGTTGGTGGGAACGGCGAGGCCGAGGTGGCGAGGAGAGCGACGAAGATGGATGCGATCATGGTTGGTTGGTTGGAGATATGTTCAGAAGGTGGGTTTGTACACGGGACTACAAGAGTGCTTGAGTTGGTTGAAGGGGAAGCAGCGCTGCCTTTTGTAGCTGGCGACAGACAGGGAATGCCTGGGAGCACAGGCTTGAAGGGCGTGTTTGCGGTGGCGCTCTGTGGTGTTCCCGTCGCAGTCACGCAGTGGCACAGACACGCCCTGGAGGGTGCGCTTGTGCGTGCGTTTGTGGTCAGGGCCAAACACGCCACAGTTCGCGTTTCAGATGCTGCCGCTGCTGCTGTGCACAGGCTGCCACTCGCGGATGGCTTGCGGCCAGTGGCTGGAGTGTGCACCGCGCACCGCGCACTGTGCGGCGCATCGTGAGTTTATCCGAAGCGTCCGGCACGCCCACTCCGTGTGGCACCCACAGGCGCTGGTGATCCCTCGCTGGCTGCCACTAGCACCACCAGCACCAGCACCAGCGGCCTGCACCTGCCGCGTGCAGCGAGCCACACGCGCTGTCGGCCGCTTGCCCAGTGGCTCAGCAGCAGCCAATCTCACGCTCGCTCGCTCGCTCGACCGACACCGCGACCCGCCGCCCATGACGCACGCCGCTGCCGTTGCTGCCGTCGCAGTGTGGCTGTGGCTCTCGCTGCTGCTGCTGCTGCCAGCACAGCCAGTGGCTGCCTGGTGAGTGTCTCTCTCGGCTATTGTCTCACTGCCTGGCTGACTGGCTGACTGACTGCATCGACGCAATGCATCAACCGACTGGCCGCCCTCAGTGCGTAAGTGTCTCACGTCCGCCATGTGCCTGCGTGCGTGCCAGCCAGCCTGGCGTGGTGTCTCACAGCGTCCGCCTGCAGCATGTCGACACACATCGACGTCTCGCACAGAGCAGCGTTTCTGTTTGCGGCCCGTGCGGCGGCCTTGTCTGACGATGCCCAGCCAAGTGCACCACCAACAAGTGCCCGGCCAAGTGCCCAGCCAAGTGCCCCCTCCAGCCCATGGACCATGTCTGCCATCGCCGCTGTTCTGCACAGCCGCCGTGCGTTTGTGCAGGCGGGCTCCTTCTTCCCAGACTGGTGCGTCGTGCCTGCGATCTTGCCTGTGCAAGCACCACAGTCGCTGGTGCTGACACTCACCGTCTGCTGCCCTCTGCGGCCCTCTGCTGCCCTCTGCTGCACTCTGGCGCACGGCCACCATGCGATCGTCCGTGCTGCAAAGGGGATATGCCTGTGCTGGACAGGCTGACGCCGCAGAGACGTCGCACTGGCCGCCGTTCTGGAATGCGTCCATCCAGCACATCGCAGAGACCTATGGCCACGGCAGATCCGGCACCGGCGCAGCATCCGGCACAGGCACAGCCTCCACCAGCGAGGCGGCACTGGATCTCGTGGCGTTCCTGCTGGGCGTGGTGTCGCACGGCGTGGCAGATGCCGTGTGGCACTCGCTGGGCATGGACGAAGGGTTCATCGACGCCATGCAGCACGTCTTCTTCCGGGACAGCTTTGCTGATGCCCACGACAACGCCGATGCAGGCGGCGACCTTGTGTTTGCTCGGCATGCGTCGTTTGCCATGCTCGAGGTGTGTCCTGCTGTGTGTGCTGCTGTGTGTGTCTCGCCGACTGCCCCACCGTCTCTCTCGCTGATCTGCCTGCCGAGTGACAGAGCACCTGGAAAACACCCGTCAGCGACATTGTGGCCATCTACGCTCGTCTCAACACCAGCGTCACGCCGCAGCAGCTGCACCAATGCATGCTGCTGGGATATGCCGGCGTGTAAGCCAACCGCATCGCTGGCGCATACGCTCTGCCACTCTATGCGTCCAGATCGCCGTTCCTTGTCGAGCAGTTCTACTCGTACTTTCGCGGCGGCGTGGACGACATGGCCGTGTGGGTGGCGGATTGCTGGGAAGCCGTGCTGGACTGGCTTGCAGACGGCGCAATGGATCCCGCTGGTCGACAGACGCAGCGATCCTGCCGCAACATGGGCCGCGACTGGACGCCTGGCATTGCTGCGCGGCTGCCGCACTCGGCGTCCCTGCAGTCCTTGCGGTCCCTGCAGTCCTTGCAGCACGCGCACGGCATGCTGGCAAGCACAGACGGCAACAGCACAAGGCGTGGCAGCAAGGGATCCCATGCAGCCAGCAGCAGCAACACCAACAGCCATGCAGCACCAGAACGCAGCTGTCTGGCCCGCTCCATTGCATCGGCAGCACACGCTGTCTCGACCGTGTCTCGTGCATCGCAAGCCACAGCCGACTGGGACGCCAGCCGCCAGTCGCTTGTGTTGACCATCACTGGGCCACAGCTGCACAGCTCGGCGGCACTCGCGCGGCTTGCTGCCCAGTGTCTGATTCCCGCCGCACTCGACACGGCGAAAGCAATGGCAGCACGGGCCACTCCGCCAGCCGCAGCACCAACCGCATTGGCCGTTTCTGAGATGAGCAGGAAAACTACACGGCCCAAGCCAGCATCAGTGGCAGCAACCGACAGCACGCCGCATGAGCCTTGGCTGCTTCCAACCTTGGCACGGCTCGCGCGGATTGCTGTTGACCAGATCGCAGCCAATGCCCGTCGCTGGTGGTGGGGCGATGAGTGCCGCACGGTTGGCAAGGGCCGCAAGGATGTGCGGGCCACGCTCGAGACTCTGAATGCTTTTGCAGGGCTGGGCAAGTCGCTTGTCTCGGGCGACTTTGACGGCGATGGACGGCCCGACCTTGTGGTTGGTGCGCCAGGATACACGGTCGGACACGCCAGCCAGGCGGGCCGTGTGTTTGTGTTCCACGGCCGCCGACGCGTGGCAGAGTGGAGTGGACTGGTCGAAGACACGGCCGATGTGGTGCTCGAGGGTGCGTCGCTGGACCGGCTGTGCTCGAGTGCAAAGCCTGCACAAACACAGAGACACAAGGACAGACGGCGCGAGGCAAGACGCGCCAAGCACAGCACCACCAGAGCAGCAGGCGCAACAGACGGAGCAGCAGGAGCAGCACCATCACGAGACTGTGACACACGGCGCGGCATTGTTGGAGCACGCTTTGGATCAGCACTCGCCGTGGTGGATCTCAACCGTGATGGCATCGATGATCTGGCCGTCTCGGCACCGCTGTATGGCGCACACGGCTCGGACGCTGAGAGTGATGATGATGACGCTGATGACGGCATTGACGGCGACAACCCTCGCAATGGAGTGCGATACAACGGCCGTGTGTATGTGTACTTTGGCGTCAAGGGCCGTGGTCTGTGTGGCAGCAGTCGGCAGGCTGGACATGCCACCGTGGGAAACAGTAGCAGCAGCAACAGCAGCCAGACGCTTGGATGTCAGCCTGATGCCGTGATCCGCGGCACACTCTCGCCCACAGCCATGGCAGCATCTGCCGGCGACACTGCATCCGATGGAGACGGCCGTGCTGCCGAGGACCAGTTTCTCGTGTTTGGCCAAGTGCTGTCCGGGCTGGACTTGGACGACGACGGGTTCCTTGATCTTGTGGTTGGATCGCCATATGCGTCGCCCTTCCGCGGAGCACACCAGGCAGGCATGGTGCATGCGTTTCTGGCTGCATCTGGACACACTGGCGACCGCATGACGCAGAACGATGCGGACTGGAGTGTGTCTGGATCGCAAGAGTAGAGTGGTTTGGGAGCTCGCTGTCCCTTGTGCGTGTGGCTGCAGAGGATCGGCCATCCGACTCGCTCAAGAGGCAGCATCAGTCTGTGCATCAGTCTGTGCATCAACCAAACA